CGTCGCAGCCCTTCGTGACCCCCTCGCTGCCCTTCGCGGACCCGTCGCAGCCGCTCGCGGCTGCCAATCGTGGACCCGTTGCAGCCCTTCGCGGCGAGCCCTCGCTGCCCTGTGTGGCCCCGTTGCAGCCTTTCGCGCCCCCCTCGCTGCCCTTCGTGGCCCCATATATGCATGCCTTTCGTGGCCCCCGCTCGTTCGCGCCCGTCGCGGCCCCACGCGCATGCGCTTCGCGGCCCTGCCGTCGCCTTTCGCGGCACCCTCGCTGCGCTTCGTGGACCCGTTGCTGCCCTCAGCGGCTCCGTCCTTGCCCTCCGCGGCCAAATATACGCATGCCCCTCGTGGCCCCCGCTCGTTCGCGCCCGTCGTGGCCCCATACGCATGCCCTTCGTGGCCCCGCCGTCGCCCTTTATGGCCCCCTCGCTTTCCTACGTGGCCCGTCGAAGCCCTCAATGGCCCCGTCGTTGCCCTCTGTAGCCTCGCATTATCTGCCTTTCGTGGCCCCCGCTCGTTCGCGCTCCTCGTGGCCCCGCTGTCGCCCTTTGTGGCCCCTTTTCCTGTCCTTCGTGGCCGCGCTGTCGCTCTCGCTCTCGCTGTCGCTCTCGCTCTCGCTCTCGCTCTCGCTCTCGCTTTCGCTCGCGCTTTCGCTCGTCGTCATCGTCGCCGTCGCCGTCGTCGTCGTGGTCGCCGTCGTCGTCGTCGTCGTCGTCGTCGTCGTGGTCGGTCCCCTGTCCGTCCCCCTTGGGGTCGGGATGCCGCCGAAAAGCGCTGCCGTTGGCCAGGCCGACGGTCCGCGGCCGCCCCGCCGCTCGCCGGGGCCCGTTCTGCAGGGAAGAAAGATACACCCCCAAAAAGGGTACGATCGAAGACGAAGAGGGCGGGTATCGAGGGCTCGGGAAATACACGTGGAATGGCCCTCGAGCAGATTTTAGCGAACAGTATTAACATGAGCGTTGTTGTTGGTGGTGGTGGTGGTGTTGTTGTTGGTGTTGCTATTCCTGGGCTTGGGCTGCCCGCCGCGTAGCCCTGTGGTCCGTTCCGTTTGCCTCTTCCAGGAGGTGTCTTGCGTGCCTTACTCCGACCATCAGTGCCTTCGCCCTTGCCTTCCGGCGGGGAGCACCCTGGCGGGCACGATCACTTGTTGGTCCAATGGTTGGGGCTACCACACCGAACATAACCTTTTCTGGCCTTCAATTGCGTCTTGTGCCCACCTGTCGTCCTGCCAGCCTTGCTCGTTTCAGTATCGACCAAAGGCCTTGGAAGGCTACACCTCTCAGGTGTCGTAGCCCTGTTGCCCCGCCGTTTTGGCCAAGGGGTTGTTTCCAAGCACCTTCAGCATCACACTCGTGGCTTCAGCTAAAATCTCGGATACGTCAACTCGGGTCTCGTCGGCAAGTTGCTAAGCTCATGTTGTGCGAGATGCGCTTTGATGATTAAAGAAGCAACGATCTAACAAAGTCTGGTATAACTACGAATATGTCCTGGTCTACTTCTTGTAGCAGGCGAAACGACTTGCTGACTGAGTCCTCTACCTTTTGATGGCAGAGCTTCAACTCCAGCCAGGAAGCAGAACGGATGATCCTTCCTACGTCGCCGGTTGCTATGTATGAACTCTATCATGTAGCTGAGACCTGGGGTTGCGACCAAAACGGGTAATGTCTAACATTTTGGCGTGGTGCTTAAGCGTGCCGATCGCCAAACAACCTCTCGACTTCACATGGTGACCAACAGTCGTTGCTTTCAGCTCGGTGCTCAGACGCCCTGCTTGCAAATCTTCTTCGCAGTTTCCCAAGATTGGCAAACAGGCAAGTGGGCAGGCTTTCACACCGGATCTTTCGAAGACGGCGGATGTCATGGGCGATGACGATCGCCCGATCTGGGATCCCCCCGCGCGCCCTACTGTCCGTGGAACCGTAGCTCCGCTACCTACAATGTCGATTTGGGTCGGTTCCGATCGGATCGGGATGGAGAGACATATTTTGTCTCTCTGCGGGCGCCCTGGCTCAAGGGCACTAAGCGGCAGCGGATGCAAGAGCATAGGGTTAGATGGGGAACCAGGACCCCTGGTGACCAGGAGAAACAAGGCAAGAACAGAGGAAGATGAAGCAACTACATGATGGAAGCTGGACGGTTGACACCAGAGGCTCCGAACTTGAGCGAAAAGCTGGGAGCACCTTGGGCCAGGGGCACCTTTAGCAACCCCCGATATCTATGCCAGGGGACGTCCGCCTCCCCACCCATGTCACTAACTGGAACTACCGTCACCAGCCGAAGCACCAGCTACGGTAGATTCGGTTTGGTGGTTCTGCCAAATGTTTGTTGGTTTCGGGGCCACATCACCCACCTGCTCCCTCCTCTTCCTCCTCCTCCTCCTCCTCCTCCTCCTCCTCCCCCTCCTCCTCCTCCTCCTCCTCTTCCTCCTCCTCCTCCTCCTCGACCTGGGCAACCAGTATGACCTGTACCGCGTGTGTCCTGCTGACCTACGTCCGTTTTTGGTTCAAGGTTACCTGGGATCCTGGCCATATCCGGCTCAGGCCCAGACCCCCCCGCGACGTGGGACAAAAATCACCGGCGGAGGGCTCTTCGCCAGTGTCGGCCTCTGGGGAGCCTCACTGGGCCCTGGGGCTGTGACACAAAAACTCGCAAGAGGGAAAGCCGGTCCCAGAGAATGGGTCGGGACCTCCCGGGCCCACGGTTCTGTCAACCGGCGTTTCTCCCTTGACTTGGGCCTCCATGGGCCCGTCCTCGGGCACCGGGACCATCAAAAACCGATCCGTGGCGAAAAACTGGCCCAGACCTTCTCGCGCCGCTTGGAGAACTCACGGCGGAGGGTCTTCTTCCTTGTCTCAGGCGGCCCTCGCTGGGCCCTGGGGGATTTAGAACTCGTTTCGTTAGAGGTCTGGGCTCGCGATACGAAGCGATCCCTCCGGGCGGCCCTTGCCGGGCCGGTGGCCGCCGAAGAACCGCGGTCGGGACGAAGAGCGGAAGCCGGGAAAGAGTTGAGACGTCGTCTCGGAAGACGCCACGACGCATGGGATCTGGGCTGCATTGTCAGGTGACCTCGTCTGCCCCATCACGCCGCTTGTCGCGTCGAGTCCGAGCCGGGTCCGCGAATGATAGTAGAATCCGAGTCGAGCCCGCGTCTTGCACAAGGGAGGGTCGCGACGTCACTGGTCAGACCGAGGCCCACGACGCCGGGATGGTGGTTCCTTCACGTGGGCCCAGGAGGTCCCAGCACCTTGCCCGGGCCCGACTTCACCTTGCCCAGGCCCGACTTTTTCATCCTGGATTGTTTTCTGACGGTCCTGTACTCTGGCACTGGCCCCCCGGAGGCCGAAACCGGCCAGAGTCTTCCGTTGTGTTTGCGCAGCTCTTCTGCGACTCGCGAGGGGGCCTGGGGTGTCCTCGCTCTCCCATCCCTCCTAGACCCTCGAGGAGGAGGAGGAGGAGGCAAGAGGAAGAGGAGGAGGAGGAGGAGGAGGAGGAGGAGGAGGAGGAGGAGGGGGAGGGGGAGGGGGAGGAGGAGGATCGAGCCTCGGCCCTCGATGCTCGATCAGAGCTCGCCCCCTGGGCCCGCCCAAGGGTGCGCTGCGGTCCTGGCCGGGAGCTCGGCGGGGGTCCGGCCGTGGCGTCGAGGGCGGCCGAGGACGTGCCGGCGTCGAATACGAATAGCTCGATCCTCGTCGAATACGAATAGCTCGATCCTCGTCGAATGCGAATAACTCGATCCTCGAATAACTCGATCCTCGATCCTCGTCGAGGACCAGCCGTGGCGTCGAATACGAATAGCTCGATCCTCGGCCCCTCGACCCCTCGGGCCCTCGAAGGGCCCCCACCCGAGATCGCAGCGCAATGGTTCGCTGTCGCCGCGCGGGCCGTCGGAGCTGCGTCAGCCGAACGCCGCGCCGCCGCCGCCGCCCGGCATCCAGTGCGGTGGGGGTGTTGGGAGCTGGTGGAACAGCAGCTGCCGTTTGGCCATGGATGATATCACCGTCGCCTGCATCGAAGCAAGGATCGTCCAGGGTCTGAGGCCTCCTGGGGCCAGTCCTTCACGAACGCCCCCACCGCAGTGGTGATTCGTCCTAATATACGGGGTCTCCGAAGTCCCGACCTCTGCCCTGGGGCCAGTTTTTGGTCGGGCATGTCCCCCATACCAGACGGAGTTTGGACGAGAAGTGAAAGCACCATCCAAAAATGCTCAAGAGCCGTCCAAAAAGGATCGAACGATCGTCTTCAGACTACTCTTTGACTATTTTTGAGTACAGCCGGGGCGTTGACCTAAGGAACCCTGAATAAGGAACGAGGCCCCTTTTTTCCATAAGTTGAGCTTCGATTTCCGATCGAAACCCTAAGGGAAACCAGAGGCAAACTGCGAAACAATTAAGGAACACGGAGCCCCTCCCCAACGGAAAGGGTTCCTTCTTCAGGGCCCCGACTGTAAGGCCCGCGCCGAACACCGCCCCCAAGGGCCCCCCAGCAGGCCGCCTCCCCTGCCCTCGGCCCTCGACGGCGGCCCTAGGGCGGCGGCCCTCGGAAGCCCCCTCGGCGGCCCTCGGAGGCACTCGGCGGCGGCGGTGTCGCCACCGCCACCGCCGCCCTCGCTGCCGTCGTCGCCGCCGCCGCCGTCGTCGCCGCCGCCGCCGCCGTCGTCGCCGCCGCCGCCGCCATCGCCGCCGTCGTCGCCGCCGCCGCCGCCATCGCCGCCGTCGTCGCCGTCGCCGCCGTCGTCGCCGTAGTCGTCGTCGTCGCCGACGTCGCCGCCGTCGCCGCCGTCGCCGCCGTCGTCGCCGCCGTCGTCGTCGTCGCCGCCGTCGTCGCCGCCGTCGTCGTCGCCGTCGTCGTCGCCGTCGCCACCGTCGCCGTCGCCGTCGCCGCCGCCGTCGTCGTCGTCGTCGTCGTCGCCGTCGCTGCCGTCGTCGTCGTCGTCGTCGTAGTCGCCGTCGACGGCGGCGACGTCGTCTTCGTAGTCGTCGACGGCGGCGGCGGCAGCGTCGCAGCGTCGCCGAGCGGCCCGTCGGCGCTGCGGCTGCCGAGCAGGCGCTGCAGCCCGCCGCCGCCGCCCGCGAGCTTGGCGAGGCGGTCGCGCACGCGCACGACGGCCTGAGCACGGGTAGGGGGCCACATGCGAACCCTACCCCTACCCCCCTCAGAAATCGTGGGGGGTAGGGGCAGGGTTCGCATGTGGCCCCCTGTTCTCTATTTTCCCGGAAGGAGAGGAGAAGAGGATCTGGACGCCCGAAATAGGTACGGAAAAAATCCCGGTAAAGCAACCTAACAGCGATGTGTAGGAGCATGTCTGGAAGCATTCCCCTTAAGATTCAGATGAGAATCCAGTTGTAGAATTCTGCTGTTCTCGCAGTCGTAGTCGCATTCGCGATGATAGTCGCAGTGGCCTGCATCAGCCTCAGCCTCAGCCTCAGCCTCAGCCTCAGCCTCAGCCTCAGCCTGCCTCAGCCTCAGCCTGCCTCAGCCTCAGCCTCAGCCTGCCTCTGCCTCAGCCTCAGCCTGCTTCAGCCTCAGCCTCAGTCTGCCGTCGGCCTCAGCCTCAGCCTCAGCCTGCCTCAGCCTCAGCCTGCATCAGCCTCAGCCTCAGCCTCAGCCTCAGCCTGCCTCAGCATCAGCCTGCCTCAGCCTCAGCCTCAGCCTCAGCCTGCTTCAGCCTCAGCCTCAGTCTGCCTTCAGCCTCGGCCTCAGCCTCGGCCTGCCGCAGCCTCAGCCTGCATCAGCCTCAGCCTCAGCCTCAGCCTGCCTCAGCATCAGCCTGCCTCAGCCTCAGCCTCAGCCTGCCTCAGCCTCAGCCTCAGCCTGCTTCAGCCTCAGCCTCAGTCTGCTTCAGCCTCGGCCTCAGCCTCAGCCTGCCTCAGCCTCAGCCTGCATCAACCTCAGCCTCAGCCTCAGCCTGCCTCAGCATCAGCCTGCCTCAGCCTCAGCCTCAGCCTGCCTCAGCCTCAGCCTCAGCCTCAACCTGCTTCAGCCTCAGCCTCAGTCTGCCTTCAGCCTCGGCCTCAGCCTCAGCCTGCCTCAGCCTCAGCCTGCATCAGCCTCAGCCTCAGCCTGCCTCAGCCTCAGCCTCAGCCTGCCTCAGCCTCAGCCTCAGCCTGCCTCAGCCACAGCCTGCCTCAGCCTCAGCCTCAGCCTGCTTCAGCCTCAGCATCAGTCTGCCTTCAGCCTCGGCCTCAGCCTCAGCCTGCCTCAGCCTCAGCCTGCATCAGCCTCAGCCTCAGCCTCAGCCTGCCTCAGCATCAGCCTGCTTCAGCCTCAGCCTCAGCCTGCCTCAGCCTCAGCCTCAGTCTGCTTCAGCCTCAGCCTCATTCTGCCTTCAGCCTCGGCCTCAGCCTCAGCCTGCCTCAGCCTCAGCCTGCCTCGGCCGCAGCATCAGCCTGCCTCAGCATTCAAAATGTGGCCCAGGAATGGAGTTCTGGGAACTAGAAGAACACGAAGTGACCTACAGTTGGCTCCGGGCATTCAAAATCATGCCCAGGAATGGAGTTCTGGGAACTCGAAGACCACGAAGTGGCCTACAGTTGGCTCCGGGCATTCAAAATCATGCCCAGGAATGGAGTTCTGGGAACTCGAAGACCACGAAGTGGCCTACAGTTGGCTCCGGGCATTCAAAATCATGCCCAGGAATGGAGTTCTGGGAATTCGAAGACCACGAAGTGGCCTACAGTTGGCTCCGGGCATTCAAAATCATGCCCAGGAATGGAGTTCTGGGACCTCGAATACCACGAAGTGTGTAACTGTTTGCTTAAATCGACTTCCGCGGCTTCTCCCCGGATCCTGCCCGGACCCCCCTGGGGCGTCAAGAGGCTCTCTTTTGACCCCACTAGAAACCTATCAATCTTCGCTGTTAGGTAAAAATGGGTGCAATGCCCAGCAACAAGTGTTGTCCCGAACCGACAGCGGCCGCTGTTGGGCAGGCGGCCTTCCGTCTCAAATAGACACAGGCCGCGGCGGCAATGAACAGCGAACACTGTTCAAAATGAACAGGAACTGCTCTTGGGCATTGTACCCATCCTTTCCGTACCCATGTCAGTCGTCCTGAGAGGAGGAGGAGGAGGAGGAGGAGGAGGACGAAGACAACGACGACGACGACGAAGACGACGACGACGATGACGACGAGGACGAGGAGGCAAAAGGGTGGCCCAGCTCTGCTCGATGCGAGGCAGGATGGGCAGAAGAACCCAGAGTCGACCGGGCAGGCGGGCTAACGAGGCCTTCAAGGAGTACCCGAAATCCAAATCGGAATCCGAAATCGAATCGAATCATAGTTGATCGAGATAGAAACGAATCGAGTCGGAGGAATCGAAATGAGCCCTGGGATGAGTGAATGGAGGCCTCCTAGATGGGTTCCGAGTGCGGTCGTGAACTGTTGCTTACGCTATGCCCTTCAAGTGGACAGCGCGCGTCGCTCCGCTCTGCTGGGTGGGAGGCTGGAAAAAGCTTGGGCATTTGACGCCAGGGAATGGGGACACGGATGCCGAGGAGAATCGAGCCAGGACGTGGTGGGCTAAAACCGGCGGCGCAGCACGCTACCCAACAGTTCCAGACCGTAGATGGGATCGGGGGATCGCGCCGCATTGCTGATGCATCGCCGACACATCAGCGATGCATCGCCGAGTTGCCAGCGGCACATCAGCGACGCGTCGGCGATGCATCGGCGACGTCGGCGGTGCTCTGGCGACGCCAGCGCCGAGCAGATCAGGCTCCACATCGAGCCACATCGGCGATGCATCGGCGATGTTGCGCGATCCTCCGACCCCATCTACTCGGACCCCAGTTGGGAGACCTACAGTGAAGGATGGAGGACGCCATGGCAAGAGCCCAGACATCTGACGTTCTGCCAGAATCGAGGAGGGGGCTCTTCGCCGTTGTCGGCCATCTGGGGGCCGTCACCGGGCTTCGGGACCGTCAAGAACCGACTCGGAACCAAAGAGCCTGTCCTGGGGGGCAGGGGCCCCTCTTTAAAACATCAAGACGTCGGTCCATGATCCTCAGAACGTGTGTTAGCCCCAACGTGTGTTTGTCCGTCGAGGCCCTTCGATACGCCGCAGGCGATGCAATGATCTACTGGCTGGGCCGGAGGGGGTAACGCACACACACACACACACACATTGGGCTAACACACGTCCTGAGGATCATCAAGTCGTGTATCTGGGATGAGTGAAGGGATACACACACACACACATTGCACTAACACACGTCCTGAGGATCATCGAGTCGGATACCTGGGATGAGTGCAGGGTGGAGGATGCCATGGTGAAGCTCGGGTGGACTGTTGGAAGGTGGGCCCCTCGCCGCTGCCGCGCGTGTCTCGTCTCCCCCAGTGGTGGTGTCTCCACGAGGGCCTCGTTGGGCCCCTGGCGCGGGTGGACCTTCCTGCCCCCTCCCCTTGGAAACGAGAGGAGGAGGAGGAGGAGGAGGAGGAGGAGGAGGAGGAGGAGAGGCAGGGAGGAGGAGGAGAGGAGGAGAGGGAGGAGAGGACGGGTTGCCTAAGCCCTTCGGGGAAACACTCCAGTGTTTGGGGGGGCTCACCACCGCGAGGAGTCGAAACTTCGGGCCCCAGCCGCCACTCGGGAGCGCTCCCTCCCCCGAGGGAGGGAGCCTCCGAGCGGGGGAGGAGGAGGAGGAGGAGGAGGAGGAGGAGGAGGCAGGAGAGGAGGAGTAGGAGGAGGAGGAGGAGGAGGAGGAGGAGAGGAGGAGGGAGGGAAGGAGGGGGCCACGGCAATAGAGGGGGGGTGCGAGATCTGCGGCACGCCGCCGGTCCCGGCCCCGCCGCCGGGCACCGCTTCCTCGCGCGTGGGCGCTCCCTTCTACCTCCTCCTCCTCCTCCTTCCTCCTCCGCCTCCTCCTCCTACCTCCTCCTCCTCCCCCTCCTCCTCCTCCTCCTCCCCCTCCGCGCCTCCCGGCGTTCGCCAGCCCCCTCCCTTTGCCGTCAGGCTAGAAAGACATCCCTCAAGAGCACGAGGCCCTCCGTCGGCGCCAGAGCAGGCAGAGAGCATCTCGGGGTGCCCCCTCCAGGGTGCACGAGGACGTCCAGCAGACACGACGAACACCAGGGTACCCTCCCCGAGCCGACCGCGATCTCATGCCTCGGTCCGATGTGTACGGCCCCCCCCCCCCCGTTCGTCCGACCCCCAAGAGCGACAACGACAAGACAGCATACGGGTGCGCGCGGGAGCACCTGTTCGACGCCCGCAGCGTGGGTCTGGGGAGGCGGGGGGGTCGACGTCCAAGGGTCGAGGCTCGAGGAGGCTTCCAGGAGTCGCCTCTCTGGGGGAGGGGAAGCGAGTCGAGAGATCGACCTACGGAGGCTTGCGAGCGAGCTTCTCGGCCTCGCCGAGAGCCTTCGGCCATCGATCGGAACGGGCCCGACTCAAATACTCGCGTCGATTCGCGTTCGCAGCCCCAAGACATTCGTGCCCCAGATTCTTGAGGGGCTCGCGCACGTCCGCGCACGCGCAGGAGGTCTGGGAGAAAAAATGCCACCAGCGAGCACGAACGACGACGGCGAGCACGACGACGACGACGACGAAGGAGGGGGAGGGGATGAGAAGGGGGGGGAGGAAGGAAAGGGGGAGCGGGAGGCGGAGGTGGATGGGGAGGGGGAGGACGAGCTGAGTGTCTTGTCACGGCCAGAGGCGGCCGCTGCGGCAGTCGCGGGCGACCCAGACATCCTTAGAACGCGGGTTACGGAGCCTTCTGGTCGTGTCCCCATGGTGCCCAGAAGCGCGCCCAATCGCGCGCCAAGCGGACGCAATGCATCCCCGCCCCAGGGCGCCATTGGGCGCCCTTGGGCGCCATCTGTGCGCTATTTGGCGCTGCTGGGCGCTGGTGGGCGCTATTGGTCGCTGTTTTGCGGCATGTGGGCGCCATTCGGGCGCCCTTGGGCGCTACTGGACGCTGTTCGGCGATATACGCTCACTGCAAGACGCGCGGAAGCTTCCGTGGCTTGCTACCCGGACGTCGTGCGAAGATCGAGGATCGCTCGAGGCTCGAAACTTTGGGGGCGTCTGCCTCCCCAGCAATCCAGCGTTTCGATGCTTCGAGACACGGGCCCCCGACCTGATGATGGTGATGATGAAGATGGTGGCGGTGAT